CTTTTTTAATTCTGTATCAAAAATTTCAGCTGAAAATTCGAAAGTCTGACCTTTTTCTTTCCACGAATATCAAAAAGAAATTTCATTACACCTTGAGGATTCCGCGTAAAAATAATTCTCAAATTTATAAGTTCAAGAAAACAGTTTAGCTCTTCAGAATAAAAATAAATCACTGGAGACAATGATTTTTCCCGTTAAATTTTACCATTTAAACCAATGATTTCCAAAAAGCTTCAATAATCCAAAAAATAAATATAAAATTTCCAAAAACAGGTTTAGTCATTGGGCCCATTTGAAAGCTGGAAATTTAGCATGATCAAATTAAATTTCTTGATATTCGAAGTTGAAAAAATATGCTTTATTTCAATCTTGTTGTTTTGATGCGGAGTACATAGCAGCTTTTAAATTCGTGAATATTTTCGATCAGCGGAAAATGATTTTCACAATATACAGTATATCATTCAAATGAGGAAATCAATTTTAATCTCATACATCGGGACTTTCCCAGAAATTTTCGCTCACTATAGATGAAAAGGTGACACAAAAAATTGACAAATCACTAAATCTAAATTAGTATTAATCCATCAATCCATTTAAAATCTGAAAGACTACATCTTTTTATGCTGTATAGTGAGACCCCAAGATGCAGACATAATTGGTGCATTGAAATATTTCCAAGTCAAAATGTCCCCTCATTTTCCCTTAAAAACAATGCATTAAAAACCTCCCTAACTCAAAGAATGTTTCTCTCAAACCTCTCTGTAAGTTGAATTTTCTGAGGCCTTTTGGTTATTATTTCCTTGAAATATGAAACCTAAAATCAATAAAAAAAATGATTGAACTGCCATTGCAGTTCAACCATCCCAAAATTTGACAGTTGAATTTGCAGGGAGGTTGACTCACAATTTGACCCTTGCACTGAAATTTGACCTGCTTTGGCCATTTTTTTGCTTTTTTGAATTGATATTTTTGTTAATTTCACAAAGTGCCCCTTCAACCACTCGGCAATTTCACCCTAGTTTGGCAATGGCTTAGGGTTGAATTCCTGTAGAATTGAGACTCAAACAGCAAACTGTGCAGAAATAAAATGGACCCTCTTACAGGCAAAAATGTGGGTACAATAATATTTTCAAACCCTAAACCTTCACTTTTGTGCCATGTTATCTTCAATAAAGAAATTTTTTGCATTTTTGCTCACTCTTTTTTAAGATTTTGTTTGTTTTGCTGATGTCCACTGATTCATGGCCGTCAATCACCAGCTGTGGTTTACAAAAAGATCAGTTCTGATCGAAATTTATTTCCAAATCAGGTATTAAAAAAAAAATTCGAAAACGCGTCCCAAACACCGCCTACAAAGCAACCATTCATTCGGAGGTTCGTTGTAAGAGGAATATTTCTTTTCCCATCTGTCACCAACTTGGCGACTAAGAAATGTTATTTAAAAATAATTTGAGAAAATTGAAATCCAGGATGAATGCCCACTCGAATTCCAAGATACGTAGTCCCAAAATCCAGATGAAGGAATTTCTTGCGATGTCTCTTCATTTTATAAATCATCATATTATATAAAATGCAATGACGCCGTAGGTACTAAAATATAGAAGAGACCTTATTTCGGAGATGCCAGAAATTTGAATTATACACGGAAAGAAGCTCAGTCTGCTCATCGGAAATGGAGCGTCCTTTCAACTTGTTCAAATGTTTGTCAATTTTTCCTCTTCTTCTTTTTTTTTGTTGCCCCAAGCACCCGATTGGTGATTTTCTCCTGAGCCGGTTTCTCACCTGGTGGTAGTCTCTGTAATACGCGCCGGGATCGTAAAGCAACTTGTCGGCCAACACGTCGCCCACGACGATGACGTCGCCGCCGGCGCCACTGGGGTCGTCGTGGTGGTGCCCGTGGTGCCCGTGTGGCGCCACTCCGAGCTGCAGCACTTGCTGCTCGTCCTCCACAGTCGCGTAAGGGATCTCGAAACATATCCTCGAACCGTCCACGTCCACGACGCTGGTACGATTGAGCATAAAATGTCACACGTGAGCCAGAAAAGTATCCTTGTTTTTTTTTTTTTTGCAGTTCCGACATTGTTTTCAGCAAGTATAATATAAATAATAATTATTCTTATTTATTTCGCTTGAATACGTGTTGATTCAAAAAGATTGGTACGTCAGATTTTTATTCAGGTGCGCTGAATTTGAAGGATATATACAGTGAGACCCCTACTTGCGGACACCTCAACTTGCAGACAATTTGACATAGGGACACTTATTTTCCCATAAAAAATTTACAAAAAAAGCCCAACATGAGGACACTGACTCCACATAGGGACATTTTGTGATGAAATTGCAAAAAAGTTTTAGGGCAAATTACAAGAAACAGATATTCCCAACCCTAAAATTGATGTAAGAAAAGTTCTTGGGCATTTCTCACACCAATTTACCATCCGTTTAGCAAATTAATAGACGGAACAGGTGCAAGGAAACAATAATATTTAAGAAGTTTAGTATAAGAAAATAAATCTTGGAGCATATGATTTGGAAGAGGAAAGCCTTGGAGGGAGGAAAAAACATTGGCGGTTTATGGGGGTAAAAAACAATACAAAGATCCTGTTTGTTCTGAAAAAAATGTTGGCGGATGGCGGTTGGCGGTTTAACGGGGTCTCCTTTAGCTTCAACCTTAGGGAGATTTGTTTGGGAGGAAAATTTGGCGGGAACAGAGGGTGGCGGTTAATCGGGGGGCGGTTTAACGGGGGTGGACTGTATTTGACTTAAAGAGGTTTGACTTGGCAACGTTCAATTGTACATCAAATTAGTATACAGTACTCATGCTTTGCACTTTTTTCTTCTCTCTTTTTTTTGCATATTAAAGAGTCGGATCCCGATCATGCACTCACTAGGCATGGAGCAGCGATGGGACCTGACCACATTCCTCAACTTCCCGCCGCAACAACCCTATGGCAGTCCGGGCAGCGGACAGCCGTCCACTGTTCCCACCGCGGGCAGCAACAACAACACCAGCGCCACCTCTGTGAGCAGTCAGCACCTGGCTGCCAGCACTGTGTTCCACCCGGCGTCCCACGCGGGACAGGGCGTGGATCTGGCCGCCATGTCCGCCCACCTACCTTACTCGCACCACCACCATCATCACCACCACCACCACCACCCTGGTGCTGCCGGGCACCACAGTCCGCATCCGAATCCGTATTCGCCGCATCATGCGGGTGTCATGGCGGCGGCCGTGGCTGCTGCAGCTGCTGCTGGATCCACGGTGCGTGGTTTTTAAAAAAGAAAAAAAAATTGTTGAAGAAGATAATATATAAAAAGAGCAGGCATGCATACTTGAATGCATTCGTGTGCTTTAATGAATTAAATCCCGGAAAAGCATTTATTTTCCTCTAAAACCGAGTTTTTTTTCTTTTTCATTTCCTCTGTCGGAGAAAGAGCAAATGTTCAGGCGTGAAATTAAAATCAGGCTTTGTGAATGACATTGAGTGTCTTTCGGAGGCTGGTACGGGGACCACTGATCCGAGGCCGCGATTTTATAGTTCTACCTACCCCAAGAAACACAATCGCATTTCTCGAAAATCTATCGATTAACAGGCGTAATTTGCCGTTAATTGAGATAATTACTACAGTGCAGTACTTCATACCAAAATTTCGGGATTGTAAGCTGTTCGTTTTTTGACATTATTCCTTAGCTGATATATAAACTTGTTTGCAATGTTTTCCTTGCCAGTTGCATTCACTATGTGCCCAAAAAAAATCGAACTCAGAATGAGCGAAAATCCGAGCATTTTATTTTTCGTCCGGGAAGTTTTGTTTTGGGAATTTTATTTATTTTTCGTGTTGAGCCAAGTTTAACGTTTCTTAATGGATGATAAAAAGCTGGAATTGTTGTACTGTCATGCTAATAAAGAAAATTATAGCTTAATACCAAAAATGTTGAATTGTCAGCTCCCGACTTTCTGACGCTCCATAGTTTACATTTTAATTTTTTACAATGTTTTCCTTGCCAATGGCATTATAACTTACGGTATGCCCAAAAATCGTAACTAGGAACGAGAAAAAAAATTATGCGTTTAATTTGTTGTTTTGCTGGAAATTTTGTTTTGGGAAACATTTTTTGTCTCGAGGCAATGTAAATTTTCGAAATACTGGAATGATTACTTCAAGCGCGTCATTATTTCATTTAGGTAGATTCCATCATTAGTATTTTAATGAAATTTTTGGTGTGGATCAGGAATTACTTTTTTGAGATTTCTGTGTACACTATGTACAGTGAGCCCCCACATGTGGATACCTTGACCTGCAGACAATTTGACATAGGGACACTTACTTTCCCATAAAAAATTTAAAAAGGCTCAACATGAGGACACTGACTCAACATAGGGACATTTTACAATAAAATTGCAAATACATTTGAGGCCAAATTACAAGAAACAGATACTGTATTTCCAATCCTGAAATTGATGATGTAAGAAAAGTTCTTGGGCATTTCTCTCACCAATTTACCATCCATTTAGCAAATTTAAAAAAAAACCTCCAACATAGAGGGATTTCCTTCTCTCTTTTTCACTTGAATGTTATTTTAACAGAGAATGCCAACATTTTTATGTACTGTACAGAAGTATCAGTATTCAATTCCCCAAATGTCCATATTGTGTTGAAATACGTTGATTGAATCAGTTTCAATTGGGAGACAATTTTTATTTTCATGGAATTATGATGAGTATTTTGTCCCTTAAACACAAATTAAAAATTATATAATGTAAGTCTAAGGGAAAATGAGACTCAACTTGAGGACATTTTGACTTAGGGACACTCTTGATGCACTATTATGCCCATATCTTGCATGGGGTTTCACTGTATATATATTATTTGGCGATACCAGATTTTGTTGACAACAACAAACTTTGTGTTATATGAGTCTTTCTTTGTACAGGGACACCTACAGCATAGCATAAATCCACTCGGGGCAATTTATAAAAGGTTTTTTTTTTTTCTCAGTCCCCAGCAGGAGCGTGTTTGCCGGTGGGTCCAGGCGGGTCTCCTGCTCTGGGTTATGGCCAGGCCCCGACAGGGGTTCTCACGGGCAACCCGTACGCGTCAGCGGGAACCTACGGCCTGTCGTCGAGTGCCACCGCGGACCAAGGCGACGGCGCCGTGTCCTCCAGTGCCGCCACGACCGTGGCGTCCGCGTCAGTTAGCTCGAGGCTGGCGGCGGCCGCCGCCGCCGCAGTCGCCTCCGCTACCAATGATCTCGCTTGCCAGCCGCACGATGCCTACTTTACCGGTAATTACGATGTTTATTACAGTACTGTAATAAATTCTTTGTTTCTGCGTAATTTGGGGTAGTTCGAAAAAAGTAATTTTAACTGCTTCACACTCTTGGAATTTTTCTTTTCGTCTTTAGAGAAGACAAATTTGTTGCAGGTTCTGGCGCTTTTTTTTCGCGCTGAATGAAAATGAATTGTGTGATTCAATCCCTAGCAAGAAAGTACTTTTTTTTTCTTGGATGTAAACAAAAATGTCTACGCGTGAGCAGGTTCTAAATTTTGAGACGTTCGCATTTGACTCGACCGAAATGGTTTTCGATTTTTTTTTTATCAATCAAATTTGCTTAAAAGATTTTAAACAATTTTCATCCTGTTCAGCAATGAAAAGTACGTACTGTATTAAATATTTGGAGAGTGTATTGGATGCTCGAAAATGTTTTCAAAAATCTTTGTGATCTTCAAAATTCAAATTCTCAAGTGCTTGATGCCATGTCTCTGAATGTAGACGTAATTTTAAATAGAAAAAAAGCGTTTGTGCAATACAAAGCACTTCTTTGTATGCCATTTAATCTTTAAAATTGCGGAAAATCTTTTTTAAAATTCAGGTCTGACCTTGAAGATGAAATACGCTTGGAAAATTGTGAAATGACTCTCGCTTATTATCCAAAATGATTGATTACAAGAGTAACAAGACACATACAAAAAATAATTCCAGTCCTTTGGTCAGGCATTTTTAAAAATTCGTGAGTAATTCTTCACCGGGATGTTTTTATATACAGTATGTATTCTTTGATTCTTTCTGACCGGCGGGTATTTTTCGTGACTATTGGAAAAAATCGTGTTTCATTGAATTTTTGACCACGAAAGTCATCGCTTGACTGGATGAAAAAATCATGCGGATGTTTGTTTAATTTTCATATTTGAAGGGTTAAACGGCAGCAGCTCTCCGCATCACGGTTCTGGTCATTTCCTGCTTCCGCTTCCGGGAGGTTCGAGTGGAGCATTCAAGCACGAAGATTTGTATTACCCGGTTCCTGTGTCCACTTCCACGTCTGCTGTGAGTCTATCGTTTACCTAATTCACAAAATCACTTTCTTCAATTATACTTCAGGCCATTCAACGCCCCTAGATAATGTGGTAAATGCGAAGACAACTGTTGACTTCATTTTTAAGTGATTCGAAAACGCAATCACCCTAAGCTTATTACGTTTGTTCGTTACTTTGCCCTGCCCTACTGAATTGACTGACATGCGACATCTACATGAATCTGTCGCAGTCATCTTTCGGCGTTTGGGTGGATGTATCATGAGCGACGCTTAGCGTTTCTCATACGGCGTTTCGCGGCGGACCAGAAAGTAGTTTTTGAATATTTGAGGCATCGCAATAAAAAATGAAAATAAGACGGAGTTGAATCAAACTTTTTCGAAAAAATTTCTAGTGTTCAAGATCTTCAGATGCATTCATATTGCTTTAATGCTATAAAAGGCAGAGAGAGGCTTGCAAACTCCAAGAATTTCGAAATACTTCGAGCAATTTGAAATAATTTTTGTCACGGAGATTCTGGAAGTTTCCTTTGCTAACTACAATCGTTGTTTCCTCCAAAAATGTTATGTACAGTACAGATAATAGAACATTGATTTCTGTGTCCATGTCTAGGTTCCTCCAGGATCGTCGCTCGTAGTCTCCTCGTCATTGGCTGGTCATCATGCCGACAGTGGATTTTTGACGTCCATTTTAGACGAGGATTTCCGACACATGAGTATGGCGAATAGCTCGAGCATTCCTCAATTAGGTAAGCAGCCATTTTTGAGCCTTCCTCTTCACATTTCCTGCAATTTTTTTCATTTTTTGAGTACAAACAATGGCCTTTGAGTTTTGAGACGAACTTGAATTAATCGGGAGTATTTTTAAGCTTTGAACCGGATCAGCATCATCTGACGGGAAAACATCCGCGCCATATTTTTTTGAAAGTTACTGTATTTTTTTCAAGCCAATGAAATAAATTCAAACTGTCGAATATCTAGAATTTTCGATATTTTGCACTCCAGTTTCTATAAAGACTTGAAGAATCCCTTTTTGGACTGGTGAAAATATTTTCTATTTCAGCATTCATCGGGGATTCTCTCGTGCGAATTATTCGGAATTTCGGGGCGTCTCTGAAACTGAGCATCACTGAGATTTTGAAAAAAATGTCGTCAAAAATAATTTTTAAAATTATGATCAAATACGGTAGACCTGATGAATGGCTTTTTCTTCATCGATTTTATGAAGATCCTTAGAAATTGAACCTCGAAGCTAGAAAAATTTGGACTATATCTCGAGAAGACTCGCAGTGTAGCTCCGGGAATTTGACACAGCAAATTTCAGCGTTATCGTAATTTTTAGGTTAAACATTTTTCAAATGGAAGACCGCGTTGATTAATTATCGTGCAAATTATATCTTCGACATAAAGTCTGATACGAAGTCGGCGGATTGTTTTCATCCTATTCCTGGGTAATCGCTATAGTTTTCCGAATTTTGACGTCTCACTGTCGCGTTATCTTCTTTCCTTTCTTTCCGTGAACTGCTTTCGTGACGTCGACAAATGACAAGAAAGAAAAAAAAAGGAAGAGAAACATTAGACACATATCCACGTACATTCGTATCTTTTGTTCATACATAAGTGCATGAACACTTGCGTCAGTTTCTGAGGTCTTATCTGTCGTCGGTTTGAGACTCTCTTACCTTTTCTTGCTCCACGCGACACGGATGGGATTCGAAACTTTTTTTTTACGCTTACAAATTTAAAAGTTCTTATTAGGCATTTTATTTTTGCAAGTTTTTGGGGAGATTTTGGCAGGTAACTGGAACAGGGTCATTTTTTAATGCATCATTTCCCGGAAGAAATGTGAATTTCACCATTAATCTGGTGCCTGGCATAAGTTTTTACGCATGTGTTGGGAATTAAAAAAGACTTCAGAAAATATGGATTCAATTATGATTTTCAGTTGGAATGTATTCATGAATGAAATTCGAAGTGAAAACGTTTCTCGGAATATTTTTTCCCCACAATAACCCATTTACTCCGAAATGCAAACATACTACGGTAAATGGAGATAAGGAAAGTGTGACTGCACTTGTCCTATTCTCTCTCTTTTTTTTTTAGTTATCTCATCCTCTACAATGTGTCCTGGGGATTCCGAGAAGTTTCACGAATTTTGAACATGCAACATTTCGAAAAAATCAAGACGATTCCGTCAAATCCGTTATATTATTTTTTAACATGCAGCTAAAATGGATCAGTTGTATTTTAAATACACTTGTGTGTGGGTTAGAATTTAAAGTTGTTGAATCCATTTGTCGTAAATAATTTTTAAAAAATCAATAAATTTAAATAGCAAAAAAAACACCGAAAACAGAAATAGAAAACAGAATTTTGAGTTGAAAAAAAGACGTGGTTCTCTATCATCAGATCGCAATCCTTTCTCGTCCACTGATCGCTTGAACGAAAAAGTTCATGTCCGCCTAATTTCGGATGGGGACATGGTGTATGAGTGAACCTGTCCATAAGCATCGAGAACTTTGTGGATAACCCATTTGTGCCATGTATCTTCGTTCTCTCTCTCCCCCTTGCTTCAGTCTTTGTTGCCCTGTGTTTGTTGTTGATCGTGTTTCTCAACAGCGGCTTGGTTTTGTGCATTCATTCGCCGGGAGCTCCAATGCGCTGACTGAGCGAGCCCAATTTTTAGAAAACACGTTCAACTGAATTTTTCAACGTTACTCAATTTTTAAAAACCGGAAAGAAAAACAATGTGTGCTGCGGAAGAAACGCATTTAATTTCTTCGAATTTTCACGGGAATGCATTGTGAAAAATTTCGTAACAGTGGGTCAAAATATTACCTCATTTCTACGAGCGTAAATCGTACTGTACCCTGATTTATTTATTTTTGATAAAATGTGCTCCGATTTTAAAATTTTGAAGTTTCATGGAAATGTGCTCGATATGCAAACAAAAGAACGTCCTCAATTCCTTTATTTCGAAAACATTTCAAAAATTCAAGAATGGCGGAAATTTTTGTGACTCTATAATCCCTGCAGTATGAGAGAAGACATTCGAGAGGCCTTCAAAGAAAAAAAGGCGACTCAAATTGTTTGACTTTAAGTCACCTTTCTGAATAGTATCGCGATTTGATTTTACTGTGGAAATTTTCAGCGTGGCCTTTGCTCAAATATCTTAAACACTGGTTGTTGCAAGCAAACATATACATTTTTTTGAATTATTGTGGCTTCCAATTATGTTCAGATTTGAAACATGCGAATGAATGAAAATGTGAGTGATGGAGACTGGTGATGAAACAGCAGGAAGTGTTTGGGTTATACCTGTGTGCTCAACAAAGGCAAATTTATTTTGGATGAAACACATTTCTTGCATTTATTTTTCACCTTAGATGTTCAGAGATTATTGTTTGCCAAAAAAAAAAATTTACGCTCACGGATTACTTTTATCAAATAAGGACTGCTTTTCATTCAGCATTCAAGTGCTATCCAGTCACATTTCCATTCAAATGCAGGTGGTACCTTGCAATTTGACCATCCTGCAATTCAAAAATCAAATTTCCTTTTAGGTCAACTTGCAATTTGACCTTTTTTCAAAATTTAACCAGTTTTAGCTGCTTTGCTAGTGTTTTTGTGCTGTTTGCCCTTGATTTTGTAGTGTCTTGAGATTTGACTGTCTTGCAATTTGACCCTAGTTTGGTAATAGATTAGGGTCAAATTGCAAGGTACCACCTAGCTGAATACCCAAACCTTGAGTCTCTTCCTATATGGCCACATGCCATTTTAGGCTTTAAAGAGCACAATTTAAATTTCCAATAACTTGAGTACTACTTTACAGCATCTGTGAGTACTTCTAGCGCATAGGCCATACAATTTTAAAAATCCATATCTAAAAATGGGATGACCCTCCTACTCAGGTATTAAAAAAAATTAAAATTTACATGCACATAATGCTCAGAACACAATTTTTTTTTAAAATTGGGAAAAAGGTAGAAGTATTGACATTTTCAAGCCCAACAAGGGGAGTTGACTGATTTCTATTAGGCTTTGCTTCATCCATCCAAATTCTAAAAAAATCAAGACTCTTTTATGGATTTCAACATTGAATTTATTGATCATCAAAAATGCTGGTACCCACCTAATGTGGAAGGTACATTTTTCACCTGAAATCCCTCTACAAGATCTACGGGTGTCCCTTAAACAAGGGTCCATTCCACTTCAGTAAAAAAATTACAGTATAGTATTGCATTCACTCAAGTACCACGCAATCCTTTTTCAGAGATATTTATAAGTGCAGGTGTGTATTATCTTAATATGAAATGAGAAATTTCGGACCAAGTTCAACAGAAAAAACTTATTTTATGGGAAATAATTGAAAAATCAGTTGAATTCAGGTTCAGTTCATGCCTAGATTCAAATTTGAAGTTTCTCATCACTGAAATATCGCAGGTTTAAAGACTCTAAAAATCGGGTGTGGACTTTACTTGACGCTTCAATTTATCTAAAATTTTGGCTGAAAAAACCCCTGGCGCGTGTCTAACTTGGTGGCACATGAGCTATTCAAATATACTGTATTAGGCAACGATGGTGTTTTTCATCACATATCACATGTAAATCGAAATCTATGACGTGACATCCACGAAATCAATCTCTCCTGGAATTATGCTGTGGAACACATGCAGTACGGTGTACAGTATACTAAAGGCCTGATATATAAAGAGAAGAGAACAAATGGAAAAAGAGTTCCACCATGAATAAAATCTATAAAAAAACCCCCCCCCCACTCCAAATTTCGGGGAAGGCTGGTTCTCAAACCGAGTGGAACAAAAACATCGCCTGTACCCCACCAAGAAGCGGTGCCACTACGAAACCGCACCCATATACGCATGTATGCGTACATACCAGAGTCAGCATCCCACACTGTCACTCATATTATCCGACGCACAAGATGCTGACTCAACTCTCGTTCGACATCTCTTTTTCACCCCACATGTACGTTTGTCTGTCCCTGTGTGTGTGTGTGTGTGCGTGTGTTTCTGGTTATCACAGCATGTGTGTTGTGTGTGCTGTACAGTTATACTGTACTGTACTTTACATTGAAGAACATCAGCGACAGCAGTTCCGTTTCTTTCCTATAGCTCTTATGAGTCGAGTTTCGACACGATTCCTTTTCCGTCTCGGGGGTCGCCTTTATTTATTAGCGCGCGCTTTTGGTGTCGCAGAAAATGAATGCGGTCATTTGGGTTTTCGAGGAATTGAGTGGATTGCTCTTTTAAAAAAAAAAATAGAGGACTGAAGTACTGCAGTAGAGTTGAACCATCACGAAAACCTCCATATGCCAAAATTTTAAAAATGCCTTTCAGAATTCTCTTGAAAAAAATGCACTAAAAATCTCACCAACTCAAACGCTTTCCCTCCTAAAATCTTCATAACTTCAATTTTTTGGGGGTCTATCATTTTATTGACACAGGAAAGAGGAAAGCGATACAAATATACCTTTCCATTTGAAAGGAAGTGAGATTAATTGTGCAAATGAACCCTGGCCTTCAAAAGCAGCCTTCTGTCAATTCATTCACGAAGCAATTTTAGGCAACAAAGATCACAAATCACAATTTCAAAAAAAAATTTAATTATCTGAAACCGTATGTCACTTTTCCTTCCAGTTTTTCGGTTGAATGTTGCTTCCGAAGGATTTATGCCAAAAAGTTTCCTCATGGAGGGATTTATAACAAAGCGCAACAAACTGCTTACCAAATGTCAGTATGTCAATAAGAAAGCGGTTTTTGCAAAAGAGAAAAAGTTGGTAAACCAGGTGTTTGTTAACCCCATTGTCAATTTTAATTTTACCCAAAAAATATTTTTTGGTCATAAGAATATTGATACTTTTTACATGCAAATCCTAAGACACCTTCTAGTACACAAGAAAATTCCGTATTTTATCCGTGAAAAAGCCCGAAAAACACGCTTGTTTGTTATAGGAAAGTCATAACATGACAGAAGAGTTAATTTGGAGTTTATTTCATTAACCTGAGTCTCGTGAATGCTCAAGTGATCTTTTTCGAAAACAAGTTGCGGAAATAATGTCTCTCACCTTTAGATAAAAAAAAAATGATTCGAAGAAAATGTGTGTGAAACCCTCAGGTAGTGGCGGTGATAGCATGGTCGTCGGCAGCAGCGGGCCGACGGGGCGGTCCTCGTCGGCGGTCGTTTCTGATCGACGAGACGGCGCCGGCGGTCGGGACGCCGTCTCCAACGGCGCCAGAAGTCCCGAGTGGACCGGACTCGCCCCACATCCGTCCCTCATGATCCCTACTGGACCATATGCTCACGATGTTTCCAGGTATGCAAGAAAAAATTCATCAAAAATCATGAAAATACTTCATTTCCAGTCTGCATTTTTTAAATGCTGAGGCGAAAAATACAGGCCGTTTGAAAAAAAAAGCTTGCATTCATATAAGCCGCATCTCGTTCCCCTGAAATTCACTGCACGAACAAAACTGAAATACTGTATTCATTTGTTTGCCTGGGAGCGCCAAAAATTCCAGAAGTTGAAGAGCAATTGATTAAAATTAAAGGTTCATGCATTGTAATTGTTGCATCTTCACTAACCTTTAGCGACGGAAAGTGCCTCAAGACTCCTTAGAATCGCGAAACTCGTCATGGACTAAATTTCGTGCAGCGGATTAAATATGCATGTCATTTTCTGAAGAAAAAGAAAATGTGTTGTAAAATTTCCAGATCGGGAACAGCGGATAGCGTCGATCGGAGCAGCGGCAGATCGAGAGGCGACCGATCGCCGCCTTCAATCCCGGTGTCGGCCAGTGGCGCCGTTCCGAACGTTCCGCCCCAAAAGAAGCACCAATTTTACGGTCGGAGAACAGGGAATTTTCAAGACAGCCAAGGGCCTGGTGGTAAGCTTTCTTCTATGTATTTTTTAAATCAAGTATCAAGCAACAAGAGCTTGAAGAGGCTCAACAAAAGAAGTTACTCGCGGTCGTGTAATGAAAAAGCGCAGGGTTTTTTTTTTTTCGCCACGTTCAACCGAATTTATTTTAGGAGTATGAAGTATTTTATCAAAACAAACCAGAACGCCTGGTTTCCTTATAAGTGAAATGGCGGATATCTAGTATTCTTTACTTTAGTTTCAGCTCAATAAACGCACTCGATTATTTCCTACGACTGTCATACTTTTTTAATATTCTATGCACATCTAAAATAAATCTGCACTGTAGAATAAATTTGTTGAGCTCAATAGAATTAATTTTTCCTTGCGCATGAGATGACAAGAGAAACAAAGCGATTCTTGATTTTTTGACAAACCTCCGGAAATACCTGCCGCCAGTTTTCAATACAAATTTGATCCTCATTTCTGCGTGCATTTTAGGAAAAATAATGCAAGTTAGTGGAATTTACGTACAAGTACTTTGAATCATATTACTGGTCCTTTTCTCTTTTCATTGCACGCTTGACTTGCAAGTTGGCAACATGCGCATTCTCCGAGAGCTTGAGCAAATTTGCATAATTTTAAAAATGATCCAAACTTTGCAAAAATGCCGATATTGCCGCTCTTTACCTTAAAATCGCCACTGCTGAACTTTCAGCGTTACTTGAAAACCATTCATGATTCAGGAATAAAACTGGACAAGGTTTGATTTAGTTTATCATTTGTGCTTGGTATTCATTGAGATCTCGAAGGAATTTTTGGAAAAATAATCTAACGTGGTCTGACTGCACTCAACAGACGGTGACGACGGTCGAGATGGGATGATGAGCCCCACGTCGGCGTCGACGGCCACCAAAACCAGCTATTTGACCGATTCATCCACTGGCTGGATCCTGTCTTCTTCATCGCAACCCAACGCGGGTTCCTCGGCCACAGCTGGCAACCTGAGTCCACAGGTGCCAGTACCACTCCATGGTTCCGCTGCCGCGTACCAAAGCTCGCCGTATGTGATTGACACCACCCCGAACTTGGGACTGGGTGCCAGTGCGGCCACGTTCGGTGCCGCGACTGGCAACTGGCACCAACAACTCCAGTCCACACACCATCAGGGATTCTCCTTCGACCCCGTGAAATACCAGTGTTCTTACGACTACTCGGGCGCTATGCGGCATCCCTCATGTGAGTGTTGTTCATTCTATGTAATTCACGCTCTATATATACTGTATAACATACTCATGTTAGATCTAAGATGGGCGATATGATACATACAAAGGATCTATGCAGGTACATTCGAAAGTTCCTGTCTCCGCGTATCTGACTGAATCTCTGTGTGAGCTCGCGGAGAAGCTCAACACTTCTTTCAAGCAACATTTTTATAACAGTCATTTGGCCAGACTTTATAGAGCGCTATCACGTTAACCTATAGCCCCAGCATACTTATGTACAGTAGTTTAAAACTTCAGAAACTTAACCCGTGACTTCATTTCCAGTGGATGCGCAAGTCGGGATCAACAACGTTCAGCACACTCACAGTTACTCAGCAGCTTTCGGAGAGCCATCGGGGTTGATCAGATCACACCAGGTTCCGCTTCCAATTTCATCATCATCATCCACTGGCAGCAGAAGAGGTGGGTCCCTGACATGCATGATCGTCGCATTTGTGACACTTACAGTTGACTTACAGTATTGCAACAATCCTCGCCGTACGCGTCAAGCACACTTCTGATCTGTGTTCATGCATCTCAAGAGGACGATCTTGAGTACTTATCCGGACACCACTACGTTGGTGATCGCGACTTATCCCCTGCGCCAGTCCGCGCGCCGCAGATCGATTCGTGTCGCGGAGTTGAGATGAGCTGTGATATATCACGCATGAAAGATGTTTAACCGTGACACTGTATACTGGTGTGTCGTTGCTACGAAGGGTAGGATAATTGAACGGCCATTGTGACGGACACTACAATCATGTATTCCCCGAATTCCTTTTTCTTGATGCAATAGAGGCATGATCTTACTTATTCTTGGATGCACTCATATTCAGTACAATTTACTACAGTACCAGGATATTTTACCATTGTTCGCACGTAACAAAGAGTAAACTGAGTAAAAGAAAACCTTGACTTAGAGTGGGACATACCGGTGGTGTGAGCGCCTCCTGTGTGTGTGTGTGTGTGTGTGTGTATGTGTGTGTATGTCCATGTTGAGTAGTAGCGACACCTGTTTATCATATTGTAACGTGTCACGTGTAGTGTGCAGAGATCTGCCATACCTGGCGATGCGCTGCGATGCAGCTTTGCATTTGTTAATAGTTTCTAACTGTGTCCTTAAGGAGTGCGTGTAATCGATGATGCGCAGGAATCCTTCCTCATGAGTCGCTGAGATGGAAGTAGAACTGGTCGAGAGTTTTCAATCCGCGCGCTGTTTCCGAACTTACTGAAGTGATCCTCCATAACAGTCCGCCGATTAATCTTATACGAATCGAAGACTTTCGAAGTAGACTATCACCGTTTGTGCTCACAGGTTCCAAGGGATATTCGAAGGAGGACAGTCAAGCGTGCAGAGATGAGAAACGAGCTTCGCAGCTAGGAATTCCCATTCCAGTGCAAGAAATAATTAACTTGCCAATGGATGAATTCAACGAACGGCTATCAAAACATGATCTGACTGAAGCTCAACTATCTCTTATTCGGGACATCCGGCGTCGCGGGAAAAACAAGGTTTGTAAACGTGACAATTCATCTGGCGATAATCTGCCTCTCATTGATCATTCCTCATGCGTATAGGTTGCTGCTCAAAATTGTAGAAAGCGCAAATTGGATCAAATTGTGTCCCTGTCTGAAACTGTGACTCAGCTGAGAACGAAGAGAGAACGACATGATCAGGAGCTGCTTTCACTTCGTCAGCGACGAAGTCAGCTTACAAGTCGATACTCAGCCCTTTATCGACACATATCGCAGGTTTGTTAGCCTTCAGAAGTTGTGCGTTTCGACATTTTTTCCCTCATTGTCCGTTAAAATTTCTTGAAGTTAAATCATTTAAGCCTCGGCAGGATCTTCGTAGAAGCTCGGTTTTCCGAATTTCTGTCCTCGTCTTGTCAATCATGATTTGACGGTTGAAGTCTACGGTTTAATATACATTTCGTCAAGGTGTTCGGTGTAATTCATGTAATTTTTTGTCTGATCGACGTTATTCTTCAGATAGTTTGTAGCACGGATAGTGCAATTACAATTTGTATTGTACAATCAACGACTAGGAGTATCTTTCCGAAGGATACTGGACATATTAAAGTATTAAAATTGTGTGTTTTATCATTCCTTCGTGTCTCAAATGTGTAATCGTTCAGGTCAGCGCGTGCATAATTCCCCTTGCATCAAGAAGCATTCTTTTTGCGACCCGCAGCACTTGTATTCAGATCACATGGCAATGATGGCATTAATCTCGATATTATTATTGTTTCTGTGTATCTTTTAGCAACTCCGAGATAATGACGGGAAACTATTGAGTCCTTACGAATACGGCTTGGAGCACACTGGAGAGGACGGGAAAGTAGTGGTGGTTCCGCTGAGCAGCTCAACGTCAGTGCAGTTAGGGAAAGATGAGAATGGACATCCTGTTGGTTCTCATGAAGCCTTGCACCACCAGCAAGCCTATGAACAGACATATGTCATGGTTCCTGGTGGTTACCACTCCGACCTCGTGATGTCCTACGGGGCACCAGATTCGTATTGCAAGCGTGAAGATGATTTGAGCGGTCCGCATGGATGACGGCGTGTCTAATGTGTTTCCGAATTCCATCACGGGGCTTGTTAAGTTATTGTTTTTTTTATTGTCTTTCTGTCGTTCTATTTTCATGTTCCCGAACCTCGTATTTCACTACTCGCAAATATTTGCATCAAAACTTTGCCAAAGTTGGGTCCAGAAATAGTCAGCGTCGAGTACAGTTTTTCTGCGCGTAAATTTCAACTGCTCGAGTCCTGTGCCTCCTGTGAATCAAGTGAGGGCAATGAAGTGTTTTCACGAAGTGCTCAAATCGATGGTGGTCTGGGAATCACTCATCTTATTTCAAATTGGTGCCGTCAGCAAATCCAGTTGTTCCATTCCCAGTGTGGTGGAGTTGACTCGGCGTCAGATCCGTGAAATCCTTTACAGTGATAAATGGCACCTGCTGCAGACTTTTGCAGAAGGTACGCAAGCTTTTTTTTTTTCATCGGATCAAGCGGGTATGAAAATGTGTCTTTATTTTCTTTTTGTTGCTCAGCGAAGCATTATGGATCTATTTTGGTTGAATTTGCAATCAAAGAATGTGTTGGTCAGCAGCGTGCTCAAAGCTCTCCGATGTTTCTAAACTCGAATATGGTCCATGATACGCGTGATAGCTGCTCTGTCTGCTTCTCTGTTTAAGCAGATTTGATTGAATTACCTCTGCAAAAGAAGAAACGTAATTCCGGACTAAGAGAAGATTTAAATCAAGGTTATGGTTGTGTAGTTTTTGCTAACGGTGTACAGCCAGATCTGTGATTTTCGCTCAGACTTCTTGAAGAAAATGGCTTGGGAAGCAAGTGCAGAACCTATGGTACTCTCTCGAGACTCGCGTGAAGCGAATATTTTGACAAATTTTGACCGCCATGATTTCAGCACAAACAGCATTGACCCCAATTCAGTTGCTGAATTGATGTGTACGGATTCAATCGTCTTATTTTGGTGACAAGAATGTTATTGTGAGACACGCGGCGAAAAACCCACTCATTGGATTCTGGGACAGATCACAAAAGTTTTGTTTTTGAAGAAAATGTTTACTCTCAAATATATGTCTCGAAGTTTGTGGAAGACCTTTTTCATTCCTTTTGATTGTTGTTGATGCTTGTGTAAGAGTGAATAGGAGGTAAATTTATTGGCAATCACCAGCTTTGTGCGGGGTATGATTTGTTGCAGAAGTCTCTTGATTTGAAATTCGTATCTCTTCTGATGATTGTCGGTGTTTTACTACTTCTCACCAGTATTATTGCATTTACTTGAGTACTATGCTCACATCTCTTCTCAAAATTCAGAGGGAAAAAGGGCATGCAATAGCATCACACATGGGGTACAATTAAAAAAATATTCAGTTCATGTCACATTATCTTAAATTGGTAAATTTTTTGCCAGAACATTCTTTAGATCAAAACAATCTCTCATATTGAATTCAGTTAGAATTCATGCTAAAATTTTTATTCTGATGTCTCATTTTTTAAATGTACAGTAGTGTTTTTATTGAGTCCATAAAAACCTCACATCAAAATATTGGAGTAAGGTACAGTACACATTAATACAGGACTTTGGTAAATAATGAGCAGGTACATCATGTGGTGCACAGGCCACAAATAAAAATGAAAACATGATTGAATTATGAATTTTGATGAATGAAACACTTGGTCTGCCGGGGAACATGGCATTGAGCCCTTTGGTAAGGACTCCAAAGAACAATGAATACATATATTTAGATTTAACAATAGAATGGTCAACACTCTTCTGACAGAGACTCAAAAAGTACCAAATGCAGTGGGAGACAATAGGAGACTGTGAAGGAATAATTAGGCTCAAAAATGGAGGGGAATTGATGGTGCAATCCGGGAATTCCAGCGTAGAATTCCCGGTTGGAGGTTTTTCTGGTACGCGGAAGGGAGAGCTAGCGCCCTCTGTCCCCTACGCATCAAACCAGTTCCTAAGTGGTAATTCTTATTGAAATAGTCTGCTTTTCATTCATAGCAATAATTAAGTTGTAGAAAATAGAATCCGAAATTTCCGCTTCTTTCCTCTATATGCATGCTTATTCCGTTTGTTGGAAGTTCGTGAGAAAAGAAGATAAATCCTGGAAGGCGAAATGTGAAGTAAAATAGTACTGATGAAGCACTCTAGTCTTCAAGCCGTAAGGTTTAATACAAGGTTTTGACGTCACCGCATGTTTCAGTCAGCTTGAGATTGTGTAGTTCGAACATATCCCTTAGGGTTATGAAGCTTGTCCATTGGCTCAATGTTCATAATGAAGCCCATTGCCCATATTGCTGGTACAAGGACGAGACTTGTTGCGAGGAGCGACATCAGCACAGGAATGGAAAAGTACGGCCCATCGTCTGTTCCCGGGATTATGCGGATGGCGTTGGAGGGACTCGCCTAACATGTGGGAAGGGGAGGGGAAAACAACGCATACGGCATCATGGTTCTGAACAATGCTGCACTCAGAAAACACGCGCGAGAGATTGACAAGAATTAATATTTCTAGCAATGCTCGAAAAAGTGTACTGCTGATGCTGACAATTATGTGATGGTACTGTACACGTGTTGAGCAGCAAACATGTAAACATAACCCATCCCTTATACCTCATTTAGAAAAAATAATTATGATGCACCTGCAGTGCTGCAAACTCGACCGACACGGCCTTATCTTGTGACTCAAAAGTGACGACGTCTTCCTGGCGAAATGCTTGTCCAATCAAGCCTGAGATCGGAACGCCTGTAGATTTCATAATTTTCGTCACTGTCTGTTCATCGTTGTTGTTTACGTTGTCTGATGAACTCAGCATTTTGTACGACAACGTGAAATTGTCGAGTTTCCAACTTGTCTCATCAGATGCAAACTGAAATCTGAAAATACCGTACCAAGTCACATGCCTTAGTTCTGTGAAATGTGCACATTAATTTTTGAGACAATATTATGCATGGAAAATGCCTCTCCTGTACAATAATATAAGACGCGCAAAGCCAGTGACATAAACGTAAGAAATAAATGGCTAAAATTTGAAATTTGGGCTCATCAAATTCAAATTCAATTGTGCTGCAATTTGTGTTCCATGTTGTTATTCACCAATTTGATTGAGCCTACGTATACATTTTTTTCTCTTTCTAGTCTTGAAAAGTATATCCCTTAAAATTCACCATATGTGTTCAACAGGTGATGCACGCCAAACAGTTTCAGACAAAAAAATTGATATATTGAAGCAGGGTTTTTTAATGCAATCGAAAATTAAATTGCCAATCAGAATTGAAATTTGTTCAGAAAATTGTTACCCAATTGCTATAAGTATTAATTTTACAGGGTTATGATTCCTCAATCAGGGCTATAGCAAATGGATTTTTACATATATTTGCCCGATTGAAATTCCTATGTCAATCGCAATCCTTTCCACTGGTTCCAGATACTGTGTCTTTTAAATTATGAATTTTAAATATTATGCTTCATGAGACAAATTTCTATCGCAATGGTTGCGATTGTGGAATAGTGGTTGTGCTGCTTTGTGACACAATGGACAACACTGTAATACTGGAGTATGGCACACACCCCTGAATGTTTCAGCTTATTTTTTTGCAGAAAAGCTACTTATGGTACTTGGGAGTTGGAAGACAATGCAGTTCAGTATTTTCTTCAGAAAAATCTCAGTACCACACAACTTCGGGGACTTCATAAAAAGTTTGTTGTACAGAATTGAATACTTTATTATTATTAGATTTTCAAAATATTGCCTGGAACATATTTTAAAATCAGACATGCCTATAATCAATTAAATCCTGCTTGTTCTGACATTCTCATATTTATGAATATTGTTTGAAAAATTGCTGAGTGATCTTTTGAAAAAATAATTCTTCAATCATTCAATCCATCAATTGCACCATATGTTATCATTCTGGGAGGATGATGCAAAAATATCTTCATTCTGGGATGATGATTATGTGTGGAAGGACCTGTAAGTCTGTTTCTCATTGCTTATAAATCATTCCTTCCATATATACTGTACAGTATTCTACAAAAGCTTGTCAGTCAAATTTTGGATAATAAATGTCAGACTGTACGTGCCTGTCTTCAGAAAATGTTTATCTGGAGAATCTGATAAACATTTCTCAAAAAATGTGAAACTAAAATTGGGAGGTCTGTTACAATGATATTGTTTCAACATGCACTCTATGGGCTTTCCGCTGCGACTTGAGAGAACAAGTTTTTTATACTGAAAAAAAAAGGTTGTAACAAGATTTTAATATACAGTACTCGATGTGGAAGGGCAAGGTTTACATTAAGAAAATCCAAGAAAATTACTAACGAGAAAGCAATGTCCTGGAATGGTGCATGGGCAGCACTCACAAGCCGAAACGTGGCACCAGTTGTAATAGGGACAGCAGCAGTCTCATTTTGGGCCACAGCTGTCCCAGTGTCGCAAGACTCACCACGCTCAGCTGGCCGTCGCTGGGTCGGCAGCTGGGTCGTCAGGCCCTCGTTTGTAGTAATGCTCACATCATCACCCACAATGTCCACACAGCTTCCATCAAGAAGGATGTGCTTTTTACGCTCCTTCTTTGCATACCTCCGCTTTAAATTTGATTGAAAAATGTATTTTGGTTTTCCATTCCATAGACTGGTGTAATATATACTGATGGCTAAAAAAAATGTTGGTACTTTCCTGTTCTCTCTGTACCTACTTTCCTGTTATCTCTATACCTTCCCTCTGACCAATTTAACCTGACCTAACCTAACTTCACCTAACCGCCTCCCAAAATCAGTTTCTGCTTTCTTTGGGTTTCTGCTGAAACTGATTTTGGGAGGCGGTTAGGTAAAGTTAGGTTAGGTCAGGTTATGTTAATTAAAAGATATTNATAATCGTGACGACCTACCAGAAACTGAATTTTATTTTTCCGCATTCTTCTGAAACTGATTTTGGGAGGCGGTTAGGTAAAGTTAGGTTAGGTCAGGTTATGTTAATTAAAAGATATTTGTAACTAACATAACCTGACCTAACCTAACTTCACCTAACCACCTCCCAAAATCAGTTTCAGCAGAATGTGGAAAAATAAAATTCACAGTTTCTGGTAGGTTGTCGTGATTATGAACTTGTCCTAAAGATTTGTCTGGATGGCAGTGTGGTCTAGGAAAGTAGGTACAGCGATAACAGGAAAGTACCAAAATGCATGGGGTTTATAAACCTGGATTGAATGGTAATGGTCTGCATCTTCCTCTCCATCATACCAGTCCACATTGTATGCAGAAAATGAATAAGGGGCTTGTTTCCCAGGTTTCCCCACCAACAAAAACACAGCATTTGGATAAGCAGCTGAAAATGCCTCATCCAGCACTTGCATGTCCTCATCTGCATTATCATGGTACTGGTCCTGAAAGACTGCAGGGTGTTCAGCAAGTGATGGTGACAGGTCTACATCAAAAATGACTGGTGCTGTAGCATTATCTGAACCCATTGACCCTCCATTTTGAACAGCTGCTGAGGATGGTAAAGATGTGGCAATAAGTGACAGGGCCTGTTGTCTGCCATTGGCCTTCACTATCAAGGTCTGCTGTCCTAATGGACCATGGATGTGTTGTGTATGATTATTTTTATTGTCAACATCACCCAAATTGGCACTGGGATGACTGGCGTTGTAATTGTTCATCATCATAAGTTCCAGCCCCTGGTCTAAAGCATTCTTGTGTAAACGTGGCTCATACCAGCTCATTGTTGCATTTGATTGGAAAATGCGTTGTAGAAAGTGGAATGACGTGTCATTGTTTTGTAATGACTCAATGCTCAGCTGTGAATGAAACATATGCAATCATGACACCAACAGACCCAGAAACAACAGCAAAGAGTAGTAATTGTACATAACCCAAACTCGGCACTTGTGTCTTTTCCCTTCTATCTTCTTTCAAAATTAACACAAATATGGTAGGATAGAAGAAGGAACATGTCTGTTCAAAATCAAAAAGCTCATTTCTTAAGTGAGTTACAATTACAGT